TTTGCTGTGAATACATTTATATGTGTATTTTATGTATTTAAACAAAGAAGAAAGACAAATAACAGAATAGTTTGGAGTGTTGAATGTTGTATCTGTGGATACTATACTTTGGGAATACGTGTGCATTAAGTTGTTTATAAAATTATTTTATAAGATAGTCAAAATAGCAATTAATATACTGAGAGGGTGAGGATTACTGTTAGTTTTAACTGCAAAAGAGAAGACAAAGCAGGTTAAAACATACTTAAATACAGACCACTGGCAATATTACTATTCACAATAATTGGTTTAAATTATGGGTGAACTTTACCATTATGGTATTCTTTGAGATAAAAGTTAATTTCTCTGTTGTAGTGTCTACTGAATTTACAAGAAATTAAGTTAAGCATGGTTTTAGGTGACATATGAAAACTTTTGTTTACCTACTTTCCACCTTGTATGATATCTCTGAGAGTATGTGAGAACACTGATGGTAACAGAGCACTAAGTTCTGTGATTCAAAACTGTACATGTAAAAAAACACCTGGCAGGGGGGCCCTATAGCTCACCTGGTAGAGCTGGCACCCCATGTGTCAAGGCAGAGTCCATGCTGTAGCGGCCCAGGGTTTGAACCCGACTTTTGCTGTGTGTCATCCCCTCTCTCTTCCCCCTTTCCCCTTTCCAGTCAATCTTCAGCTGTCCCATGCAATAAAGGCAAAAGGCCCTAAAAATATTCTGAAATAAGACCTGGCAAGTTCAGTCGCATTAGAATATCTATCCCTAAAACGATACACGTTGATGATTTTCCAATAGTTGAGCGACTAGACTAACCTTATCTGAGACACTTTTTATTTAAAGCTGAAGTCACAATAGTGTTAACTGTACAGGACATAATATTGTGTACCCTTCGGCTTCACTGAGTCACAAACTGTATCAACAAGTCAAGGGAATTATTGCAAAAAACATGCATCAGCAGTTGATGAAGTCTCCAGTGACTTTGATGTAGTAGATATGGGTGTGGTGATGTGCGTGGAGCTGAGAGAGAACAGACTTTGCAACACCATGGAGATGGTAGACTTCACTGCACTCCAGCGAAATGTAAATATGACAGCACTTTGGAGGGCAGAATAAATGTGACACATTGATTAAAATGTTGGGCGAGAACAACGTAGCGATGTCTGTGCTTCATATCTAATTAAAAGAGATCATTGTCTTCTGGCTGCTCTCTGGCAGTTCAATTCGCCTAGTTTTCACTGTGTTGATGAACCGAGAGAAGGCATTGCATATTTAAGGCACTTGTATATTTATTTATATATTTTCTGCACAAGCATGAAAATCCTCCTTTGTTTGGATTAATCTATGGCAGTGGAATTATTAATTTATGAAGCCAGTTTATACTAAAATGCAAGTTCCTTAACTCAATCAAAAAGAGAGAGTAGGGATGAATGAATGATATCAGAAATATATAAAATGGGAAAGAATACAGTAGTAGTAGTTTCTGTTAGAAATAGATGGAGGCAATGTGTTAAAAGATATCGCCAAAGCTTAGAAAAATCCCAGTACCAAAGAGAGAGAGGACTTTTCTATTTAGTGCCAGAAAGTGTATTCTAAAGCAGGGGCAGGTACCCAGCCGTCAATTTAATCAATTGCTTTAAAAAATATTATTTGGAGACCACATAAAAAAAAAAAAACTCAACCCTTGTAGCATGCTATCTTATCTCTTGCTACAGTGGAAAATGTTAATATGCAAACATTCCAGTTCTCTGGTGAAGTTTCTATGATTTATAAAATCCGTTCTTTCAGAAGGCAGATAGTCAGCATCTGTCCATATTTTTGAATGCAGGCTCAAAGTTCCCAGAGAAGAAGCCACTCATTAAAAGTGCGATTTGCACTCTGGTCACACACTCGCGGCAGACAACGGACATGGCAAGCAGTCACCCAGCCACAAATCCTTACAGAATGCGCAAATGGCGAGCTAATTAACAAACTTGCACGCCTCAACACAGAACGACCGACAAGGTCAAAGGGTGATGGACGTCATTGGCCAGAGACACTCGGTGCCAAATATACATTAAATATTTTCCATTGGGTGGTCCTAATGACGAATGCATGGAATTTATGAACCGTGATCTTTTATGAACTATGTCACCCAATTACCTGATAACGTATTGTGACATCCATCTTGTTAATGATTCAAAGGAAACTTGTGGATTTTCGTGCTTGGCACCTAATGTTGTTTTAACAACATTTTAACTCAGAGAACATTAATCCTGCCAGTCTTAATTGTGTGACACTACTATACTGTATTTTCTGAAGAGGAAAGATAAGCATATTAAACATTTATGGATAAAAACAAATTCCAGTCACTGTGATTTCTTTGATAAAACCGACTGCTTTGAAGAACAAGACAGTTTCTGATGGAAAAGGGGAAAAAAACATCATAGAGATAGGGAGTAGAAAATGCAAGCAGTGGTGTACACTGGGAAATGTAAATCCAATAATGGTGTAAATAATCAATAGATATACTCACACACATTCTACAGAAAGTCAATTGAAAAATTGTGAAGTAGTATTAAAACTCTCCTTCGAGCTTCCAGCATGTTATGCTTTGAATCAATACTTCTGCACTGAAATTAACAACCAGCAGAAGCATCTCCAGCATTTCTGAACAGGGATTAGAAACTTTACATGAAGCTTGTTTGCCTACTCCCCAGTCTCAGCCTACCAGGCCTCAGTCACACACTGAACGGGGATTCTCTGCCTCGGCCTTGTAACTGCGTGCACCCTCTGTTTCTGTCAGGTCTTGCATCTGTCTGCTGGTATGTCATGTGGAAAGGTCAACCTGGTTTCTCCACCTCTCAAAGTGGGGAAAAAATAACACCTACCAAGAGGTTTCTGTGCAAATCAAAGATGTGAACTGCACTAAGTAAGAGGCGCAAGACGCAAAAAAGACACTAAAACGCAGTGTTTTTCTGTTCAAGCCTGAATATCTATTATCACTTTTAAACTGCATACTTTGCAGGCAATAGTGAAATACTGTTTGGAAAAACACTTACAGTAGTCTTTGTGGAAGCAAAGAAAAACAAAGTCAAGAGAGACACCTAATGAGGGACTAACAAAGATCGTAAACCGAATTTTGACCAATGCTCTGTAGGTTCCTGCCTCTTTGAGCGTCTTAACACATGAGATAAGAACTGGCTCAGTATACAATAAAATTTGACACAGCCACTATGGGAGCAGTAGGAATTTAATTTATCTCATTGCTGATATGCGACTCTCTAGGACAGAGTGGGCTAAACGAAGGGGGTGAAACAGAGTGTGGGAGTTGTGAGAGAAAAAGAAAGCAAGATAATGAGATTAAGAAGGAAATTACAAGGAGCAAGAGGGGTATGCACAAGGTGTTGGGAAATTGAGAGACTGTAATACAGGGGCAGTAGGAATGATGCTGAAGAAGGAAGGAGCAAGGGAAATGGAAATGGAGAGTGGGAGAGAAAGACGAACAAGGGATGAGAGAAATGGCAAGACGGAGGGTGGGATGGACGAGGGGCCTTTATATTGATACAATTGGTCAGGAAATAATAACACGAGTGAGTGAATAAGAAAACCTCATTTCACGTAATGAGTATTCTAATCAAGAGATTACATTATCTCACATCGAAGAGACAGGGGAGAGTGGAGCCCCTGGCAACTGGGTGTTGGCAGTGATCGCATGCTGGGGAATGGCTTAATGCCTTCTATAACTGTGCTAGTACAGCAGAGCTATTACAGTACATGCCTATGCACAATCACACCCTTGGAAAGACACACGCATGCGTACACCTAAACACTCAAGTATTTATGCATCCATGCATGCCAGCTAGAAAAAACCTCAAGCTATTAGAAGCAGACAAGCCATAGTGCAAGAGTTAGAAATAGATGGTTTTTCAATTTAACCAGGCGAAAGCAGATTCTATATTTTTACACTTTGATGATTAGTAAAAAAAACTGCTCTGTGCAGAAAGAACATCAACAAAAAACAAAAAAAAGATTGCTGATCTTGCTATCGATGGGTGTGGCTACAATCAAAGCATTCAGCTAAGCTCTCAGAAAAGAATTGCTTCCTGCTGTAACTTTCTTTCTCCTAAATAGATATCAAATTCATATTTGTCATGTATATTTATATACAGCACATCTAAGTCATGGATAGGTGAGAAAAGCATATTAAAATGAAGGAAGAAGCACCTCATCCTCTTCAACAGATTCCAGCTAGTTGAAACATGGTCATACACATGAAATTCATTTCAGAAAAATAAATACAATTAAAATGACACCATTCCCAGTGAAGGAGCATCACAGAAAATGCTGTGTTCCTGGGTATAAATACAAATAGGAAGACACACGCACAGATCGCTTTGAGAGCAACGACTGCCACAGATTTTCCTCAGAGAATCACCATAGGTCAGCTCAGCAGCTGTTCATCCCCTCAGCCAATCAAACAGGAACAGGGAGCAAGAACCCAGCATAAATACACGCCAATTAAAGAACCTAAAATTAATCCAAGCAATCAAGCTTCCCCTGTCTTTTTCTCTTGCTACATCTTGCTGACAGATTGAATGCCATCCATCACATCACTGCCAGTTTCTCTGATTAATTTACTGTAAGAGAAGGTGAATTAAATCAATGTTTGAATAAAAGTGCTGGGTGGAAAATAAATTAAGGATGAGCAAATCTCCATGGCAGTGGATGAAAAATAAAAGCCTGGGGGTATGCCAGCAAGGAAAGACAAAACAAACAACGAATTCACCATGAAAGCATCTTGTTATAAGGTGCAGTGCTTCAATTTGGCCTTAAAGTAGCAAAGGTAAAAATAATTGACACTTTAAGAGTCACAATAATACCTGATTCATAGATTACACAGCTTTTTGCTCACAAATGGAATAAATAAATTAAAATCTACTCGACTGAAAGATATGGCAAACTATGTTTTGTGTAGTCCAATTTCCTTGTTCACATATATGAATGGTCTGAGTCAATGGACTGACCTGCAGCACCGTCTGGATCTTGGCAGAGACGTCGGCCTGCTCGTAGAGTTTGATGCCCTCTTTGTGGGCCCCGCCCGGGCACTGCACTGCGATCTGCTGCAGGTGGGCCAACACCACACTGTGAGCCTGGGCCACTGCCTTGAACTTGTCAAACAAAAGCTCCAGCAGTTCAAGCACCAGCCTGTAGAGGGAGCCAGAGGGAGCAGAAAGGGAGCGAGGAGATGAGAAACAAGAGGGATGGAGAGCAGGAAAGTGGGGAGTAAAGAAGAGGAGAGGGAAAGTGGGGGATCAAGGCAACTTATGAGAAGTAATACTTAATGAAAAAAGATGATACATTTTTCACTTGACTACAATAAAAAATAACATTTATTTAATATGCATTTTCCCATGGTCCTGTCTATCACAATCTACAGTAATGCAGGAGCTGCGAAGCACAACATTCACTAGACAGTTTATTGGTTAGGAAAATGCATACTCCTACAGTAAATCATTTGGTCTTGGATTTCTCTATACACACAGCAGAGAGCCACCAAGGAATTTAGCTTCTGTTTCAGTATCAGAAAGAGAGAAAAATTAGACCTAGAAAATTAGACACCAAGTGTTTGTGACTGCTGGTGCCAGACGGCACAACAGATTTTTTCATTTCACCAGCAGCAACCATAAAAAGTTGTTGCCACACATTTGCTTTACCTCCAAACTATATTATTAACAGCTGAGAAATACTGATACCAATACCTGAAGTTGCATACTGGTCAATACAGAGTACTGATCTGATACATGTGTGTTAAAAAATAATTAGCCTGAAAAATGTATATTTAAAAAAAAAAAGCATATTGTATGTAGTATATGCCCTTATGATTGCTATCATTGTTTTCTGGCCTCACTCAGGTTAAACCCTTTATCAGAGTCAGTCAGAGTAGGGTGAGTCATTACTTTGCTATCCTGGGGGAAGGAATGGTGAAGGGGATGCTGCCGGGAAGCAGCAAGGTCCTGTTCGGGGCTAATATATTCCATGGTATCAGATTGGTGCACAGATAGGCATACTTGCTGATACCCAATACCGCATTTTAGGCAGTATCAGAGTAGTTTTTGATAGTGAGATCAGTATGAGAACACCTGAAATAACAACACAGTCCCTGCAGTTCTGTAAAAAAAAAAAAAATCATGCTAATGTGAAGAGATTATCGCGCATCTCCAGCCTCCACTCCGCCTTCGAGGATGTGTATATGCACAGATAAATTCTACTAAATTGTGAAATCCTTTTGTATTGCACTTGATGTAAGGAAAACTAAAGGTAAAACTACAGTTGTTCTGAAGATAATGAGGGGAAATAACTATCTATCTACCCAAAAGTAATTCCTGAAGGTATTTCACAGCACCAGTTAGGTATTGCAGTACTTTGTTTCCATTCACATTTCCCATTTAGCAGATACTCACAGCTATTTTAACCCAGCACGTGGGCTGGCTATCGAAAAAGTAGTAAGCTGCCCAACCTGGCCTCAAATGAACAGCTACTCTCATTAGTTCTAAATGGCTCTGGCTGAAGAAGAAAGCACAGCCAAAACCAAAGAGACCTTCCACTTGATCTGAGTGCTATGCTCTGAATTGGAAACTCACAGTTGCCTCATCTACACTAATGCTTTCATACAGACTTTCCTATACCTGCTTTCTGCACAAGGACAAAGCTTTCAAAGTAAAGAGGGAACACAGGTTATATTAGCTGAGTCTGACTGAGTACCCAGTGCACCCATGCCAGTGAGTGCCCACTTTATTTTAGTGGAGATATTACAGTTATATAAACATAGTCACTATGTTTATCTAACACTGGTCCTTTAGTACTTTCCTATGGCATTTTAATTGAGTTTAATAGTTTAAAAAAAAAGTTTTTCTTTCAGCTGAAAAGTTAAAACAAAACTATGGAAATTGTTAAAAATATTGGCAATTTGAAGTCCACACAACAAATTTTAAACATTGTGAGACAGTGTTAAAGTTCCCTATTTTGTGGGACCCATATCTTTCCCACTTTCCCTCAGCTAAACTGAATTTCTTTCCTGCATCTAACCAATCCGCTCTCCTGCTGATTTAATTAAACCTACTACAAGGTGTTTTTAATTGGTTATGAATTTAATACTGATGCCTCTGCATAAACAAACAAGAACATCAGCGTTATTCTTAATGTCTGCCACCGGGTTGGATTCAGTTGGATTCCCCTTGAAATCAAAGAAAGGTGGTGTGGTAATGGTAGTGTTAGTGTTTACCACTTTTGTCCACATGGGCTGCCAGAACCAACAAAAAATAACAGCTCCATGTTGCTGCTTTAAGAAAAAAAACAGAAAAGTTGCAACTGCCGAAAACTATCTTCTATTAAGAATACTCAAAAGCACCTGAGCCCATACCTCATTAATGCCAAGTCAATACAAATTATCAGCAATTTAAGTGCTGCAAGATGAGAAAGCATGCTAAAAGTGTTGGGAAGTGGCCAAGGTTTCCTGGGAAGGTATAAGGATAATGTGGAGGCAAGATGGATGTTTCACTAGGGGGCATTTTGGTTGGCTGTCTGTCACTACACTGGCAGTAGCAGCGAGTAAATGTTATTAATGGAGAGGAAAGCAGGCACAAATCACTATGAGATATAACTCAGTGAATGGAAGATTTTCGTGAGACGAAGCGAAGACCTGTGGAATGCCAACGAGTCAAGGAATTCTCCTCCAATCATCCACAGACATGAAGGGCTGACAAGAGGAATACACAAGTGAAGGCCAACTTATAGAAAAGGCCAAACAAAACATGATCATCTGCATTCATAGAGGTAGACACACACAATATGTGTCTGACCTTGTCAGTCACCCCTTTTTTTTTTTTTTTGATTTCTAAGTGCACTACAACTTACCCCCACCTAACCCTTTCCACACACACAGACAAATGTGCACACACACACAAAGAGTAGATAGCTCAGTCCTCCTCATTATCTCCCAGTGGAGGCCATCCTAATCCATATCATCTGTTCTTTGAGACCTCACTTCTCATTTCCCCTCAGGATCGAAGCCAACACACACACGACTGATGAGCAGTCTGGAGCAGCGGGGGAGCACACGCAGTCCCTCACAAACTGACCGACAGTACATCTGTGTGTGTATGTGTGTCTTTCTTTCATTATAGGAGGACGATGATTGTGTCCACATTAGATTAGGTTGGTTGACAGCCAGAGATAATAAAATCACTGTAAATAGAGGTCTACAGAGTGTTTAAAGAACCCCTTTGAAATATCAAATGTGCAGGGTCCTGCTGTCATACACAAATGGCCACAGAGTAGAAACACTTTCACACAAATTTTGTCCTCAGAAGTTTCCAATGCCAAAAAATAAAAATAAAAAAGAGTACAAAAGAGACAAGCAATCAATCTCGTGATCAATGTGCTTTTCTTGTTTTTAAATTGGATTTAAAATACTTAGCCATTTATTTTAATGTTCCTTGGTCATTCAACCATTTCTTTATTAAATCAGCTCTCTTGCTCAGGGATTCAGATTAGATTCAGAATATTCTACATACCAAAACCAAAGCAAAAAGAAATGAGGCTTTTTTTGTAATGCAAAATGAAAAAAAAAATGAATATGACTTCAACAAGTCTGATTTGATGTAAATGAAACTAAGCTACTCACAGATCAGTGGTGCATTCTAATAACTTTGGTGCATGGAGTAGGAACCTGTATGGAGTTTCTTAGTAAAAGTAATATCTAGTAAAAGTAGTTTGAAATTAAAATGCACTTCCAGTGTGGCTGATCGCAGAGGACGTGAATGAGAACATAAACCTCCAAGAGGAAACCACACACCGACCCACATATGCTGTAAAGTGCTTAAGTGCTGCCTGCATGTCTGCAATGCTATAAAATATAGTGTGCAATATGCAAGACCATTGTTCCCTACAAGTGTTACATTGGAAGGAGTTTCCATAGCAACAAGCCCCGACTTTAAATTGAAGTGAACATAGGCAGAACTTGGTGTGTATGCATCCAAATACAGACACACACAAACCTCTAAGTGTTCGCCCAAATGCACACAGATACAGTGTTAAGCACTCACACACGCAGGCAAACTTAAAACAATCTGTAAGGAGTAGAGCTGGGAATGAGCTACACGGTGGCCTATTACAGTGAGGTCAGATGAGATTCAGCAGGCAACAGGAGAAAGAAGGCAGACGAGGCCGGAGAGAACATCCCTGACAGAAAACAAGACGTTCATCTTAAATGGTTCGGGATCAGTGGACTGAGACCTGTGTTTCCCAAGTCTGCTCGCTGCATGTGTATGTCTGCAGGAGCTGATGTGACTGCTTTTAAAATGTAGCAGTCCTCTACGGCAGGTGTGAAGTTGTTTGTGTGTGTGTGTGTGTGTGTGTATGGGTGTGTTTAACCATGACTTGTCTTGATTTAAAGCAGCAGAGTATCTGTTTTCATGGTCTGAGGCAGGTGTGCCTCCAGTCCTAGCCTTTTACTGTGTTTCATACCTGGTTGACTGTCTGACTATGGACGCCGTGGGACGGCACTCAAAACATGGCATCTACTGCTTTTACTGTCCGCTATAAATATACCTAAAAAGATTCACTGTGTGTGCTGACACCAAAAATCCAAGCTATAATAATATTTATCAAAAGCTGTACGGTATTAGTAAGAATCTGCAGGGAGGGTAGATAAATCCCTAACCTCTACCGACCACTAGAGAGTGTGGCCACCTTGTAAGTAATGACACAGGGGAATAGAATCTAATGGGAACACTATAATTACAGAAGAACAAGCAAGCAGGCTTGTTTAATAAAACTCTTGCATCGATACAATACTGGGGGGATTACAAGTGACAGCTTTATTAAGGTTTGCTTTCACTGGTAACAACAGTAGCTGCATACTGCTGTTTACACTGATAATTTTTCAATCATTTCAACAAGATGGCTGTCTACTTACTACATCTCCCTTTTCCTCTTCATTTACTATTTATTATTAACCTCCAGTTTTCTCCATGTTTTCACTGATCTGTAGCAATCCTCACTCTTCAGGGAATTGTTCTCTACTCTCAGGAAGCCATGATATTTCAGCATAGTGCCTTCCTTATCTGCCATGTCCCTTTTTACTGTACCTTGGCTGGCTCTCCTGGGCCAGGTTTTCTCCTCTCTGGTAAGCATGGTCTGCTATCTGAGTGGTGGACCTCTTCACAATCTGTTTCAGCTCAGGTTCCAGCCGCTCCATTATGGCTTTGATGGTCTCAGGGATTTTCTTCAACTTGGCCAGAGCCTGAAAAAGTAAAGGACAATGCAAACGGTTTACTTGAAGCAAGAAAAGAGAGACACTGAAATAACAGCATAGGTGGTTGTAACATAATTAATATATATATTTTTTATATTTTTGCCTTTTTTGCCTTTATTGGATAGGACAGCTACAAATTGATAGAAAAGGGAGAGAGGGGG